AAAACTCCAAAAGGAAGCCCTACCCCCACAGTACTGCAGCAGTCAGCCGTCCCCTCCCAGCCTGGGATGCTGAGGCCACTTCCTGTCTCTGGAGTCCCCCGGCCTAGGCATTTCCTGTCCATGGAGCCCACACTGTGTGCTCCGTGTCTGGCGTCTCTCACTGACCACGGTGTTCTCAAGGCCCCTCCATGCTGTGTCCTTCTGTCCGGAATGGACAGGTGGGTTGTGCCCACATGTTGGCGACCATGGAAGACCCTGCCCTAACCACTTGCAGCTGAGTCTGCAGGGCCCCAAGTCATTCCCGGCAGCTGCAGTGGACCAAGGCGTGGGGTGCTGGGTCAAAGGCGGCTGGACCACCCTGCATCCCTCACCACCGACACAGTCCTTCTGACTGCAGCTGCCTACTGCTCAGGACCACCCCCGAGAAAGGATCTCCAAGAGAGGAACCACAGCTAAGGAACTCAGCTCTGGCTGGGCGTGGCGGTGCGCACCTGTTATCCTAGCACTTGGGAGGCTGAGGCAGGAGGATCCCAAGTTTGAACTCAGCCTGGGCAACTTATTGACTCAACGAGAACCTGTTTCAAAAAAAAGATAAATAAAGAAAAAAAAAAAGAACTAAGTCTCACACTCAGCAGCATACCCATGCCTGCCTCCAAACTAGCCCAAGCCCAGCAGGGGACGACTCCCAACTCATGCTGTCACGCTTCTGGAACTAGAAGCCCAAATCCGGTGTCTCCAGGTACACTCCCTCTGGAGGGCCCAGGGATGGTCCTCGCCGCCTCTTTTAGCTTCAAGTGGCCCCAGTATCCCTTTGCAGTGCTGCCGCCACGCCAGTCTGCCTCTGTCTGTGCACAACCACCTCCAGCATGGCTTTTTGTTGTGGTGCTAGGGACTGAACCCGCACCAGGGCCTTTGCCCTGAGCTCCATCCCCAGCTCTTTTTCTGAGGTTAGGTCACTAAGGTGCTAAGTTGTCCAGGTGGGCTGGAACTTGTGATCCTCCTGCCTGAGCCTCCTGGAGTGCTGGGATGACAGACGTGTGCTACCAACACCCAGCTTCTCTGCTTCTCTCAGGCAGATCAACTTAGGGTCCGCATGGATACTCCAGGGTGCCGTCTTCACCACGAGCTGAGATGCTTTTCCCCAGTGAGCCTTGCGCAGAGGCTCTGGGAGTTGGGGCATACACACATCTTTCTGGGAGCTACCTCTTAACCCGTGACACTGTGTAACAAATTACCAAATTTAGCAGTTTAAAAACCATGCCTATAGGGGCTGGGGATTTAGCTCAGCGGCAAAGCGCCTGCCTGGCAAGCGCAAGGTCGTGAGTTCGGTTCCCAGTACCGGAGAAAAAACAAAAACAAAAACAAAACCATGCCTCTGTTTGAGCTCACAGTTCTGCAGGGCAGAAGCCAGGCCTGGCACTCTAGGTTCTTTGCTTGATCTCACAGGGCCAAACCACGGTGCTGGCTAGGTGACACTCAGCTGCAGCTCAGGGCCTCTCAAGCTCCAGCGCTTGTGGCAGAGTTCAGTTCCCTGCCCAGCATGGTGGCCCACGCCTATAATCTCAGCACTCGGGAGGCTGAGGCAGGAGGATCACTGAGAATTAGAGGCCAGCCTGGACTACATAGGAGACCCTGTCTCAAAAAACCAAAACAGAACAGAATTTGGTTCCTTCTCAGCTCCAGGCCACCTGCTCTCCTCACCATTGGTCCCCTCAAAGCTGGCAAGGATGGACCATGCCCTGCTGTCCACTGTACCATCTCTTTACTTCCTCTTTTGCTGCCAGCCGGAGAAAACTGCCAGGGAGGAATCACAATCTTGACTTCCAAGTGCAAAGAACTAAATTCTGCCAACAATTGAAAGAGCTGAGGGCTGGGGATTTAGCTCAGCAGTACAGCGCCTGCCTGACAAGCATGAGGTCGTGAGTTCAATTCCCGGTACCAAAAAAAAAAAGGAAGAGCTCAGAGCTGGACATGGTGACACACCCCTGTAATCCCAGCACTCGGGAGGCTGAGGCAGGAGTCTTGTTGCAAGACCAGCCAGGGCTACAAAGTGAGCTCAAGGCCAGCCTGAATTGCATGGCAAGACCCCATCTCAAAAAGACCAAAAAAATAAAGAGCTGAAAGAGGTTTCCTCCCCAGAGGCTGCAGATAAGGGCCTTAGAGGGGGACACTTTGCTGAGTAGAGCCAGACTTGGACCTACAGAACTGTCAAACAGCCACCAGGCTTGCAGGCACACGCCCATAACCCCAGCCCTTGGGAGGCTGAGGCAGGAGGATTGCCATGAATTTGAGGCCAACCTGAACTATACCGCAAGACCCTGTCTCAAAAAAATAAAACAAAACCAAAGAAAACCATGACACTGGGGACAGAACCCAGGGTTTTGTGCTAAGCTACATTCCCAGCCCATATTTTATTTATTATTCTGAGACAGTGTCTTGCTAAGATGCCCAGGCTGGGCTTGAACTTGGGATACTCCTCCCTCAGCCTCCCAGGAGGGCTTGCACCATGCCTGGGTGTACATGGTGTTGTTTGTGGGATTCTGTTACAGAGAAAATAAACACAACCCTAACAGAAGCAAAAGGGATGGCAGAGTCACAGCCCACACTGTTCTTTTTGTCCAGATACCTACTTGCTCTGTGGACCAAAAAGGGGCAGAATCTGCTGTTATGGTGTGATGAGAGCAACGGCCCTTTCTGGCTCCGCTCCTGCGGCCCCCAGGATGCACTGTCCCCTGCACAGCGACTCTGTAGGACAAGTGGCGTGGGACTTGGGACTCACCTCATTGGTTCCTCCTTGAGATGCGTAAGTGAACGTACAGGTAAATTTGTCCTAGAAAAGGTGAGAAACAAGACTTGGTAGGGGGTGATTCTCAGGGCAACCAGCACAGGGTCTCAGGGCCTGCAGAATCAGGACTGGAGAGATCCTACCCCGCCCCTCCCTTCCTTCCAAGAGCCCCTGGGTCATCAGAAAGAATGCACACTCCCTCCAGCAACCACCCCTGCAGAAAGGTGCTTTGGGAGCAGACACCTGGGGCCCTGGACGAGAGAAAACCTTTTTTTTTTTTTAGAAAAGTTCTCCCTAAGTAGTTGAGGCTGGACTCCACCTCGCGGGGACCCTCCCGCCTCAGCCTCCCGCGGGTGCCACTACTCCTTGGGAAGTAAAAAACCCTCTGAACTACTTCCTCATCGGTCAAACGGGCTTAACGTAACGCCCCTGGCAGACCACCAGGCTATGAGGGCGCGCTCGACGCGAGCCAACCACGGGCACAGCCGGCACGCAGGAAGGGGACGCCGAGGAAGAGGCTTCTGCTGCCCGCTGGGGCCGAGGCTGGGCTCCCCCCAGCCATGACGGCTCCACGGAAGGCGGCCCGGCGTCCCAGCCTCGGCGGCCGGGTGGGGACCTCGCGGGCGCCGCTCCCGCCCGACGGCGCAGGTGACAGGAGAGGGCGGCGGGCTCACGCCCCGCCCCGCCCGGGAGGCCCTCGTCTCGGCGCTTCCCCCACGCAGTCCCCGCCGCCGGGCCCGCCCCCCGCCCGGCCCGACCCTCGTTCGGACGACCGGGCGACAGCGGCGCGTACCCCGGGGCCCACGTCCTGGGAGAAGGAATGCACGACGCCACCGGGCCGCACGTCAAACGCCACCGTCGTGGGCTCGGACACGGCCTCCGCCGGCCTCAGAGGCAGTGCCGCCAGGAGCAGCGCGGCAAACCAGGCCGTGCCACAGCCGTTCCGGTGTCTGCTGGGCGCCGCCATCTTGGGACCCTGCGCCGCGGGCGGGGGCGAGCGGACGAGGCGCGGCGAGGGACACGTGGGGCGGGCGTCGCGGGCCACGTCTGCGTCCTGCGGCCGCGTGACCCTTGTGCCCCGCCCCTTCCGCTGCCCAGGGCCCTTGTTGGGGCAGGGCTTGGGGCCGCGATGATTGGCTGTACCTCTCTTCCAATGAGTGCTGGTGGGATGAAAGCTTTTGGTCATCTTTAAAGGAGCGCTTTAATGATTGCACCCACAATCGTCAGTGAACCCACAAAATGAGTGGAAGGGACGCGAGGGATCTTACTTGCACTTGAAATTTATCTCTTAAAAATGTCTTTTTTGCCGGCCTTGGTGGCGCACGCCTGTAATCCCAGCATACTGGGAGGCTGAGGCAGGAGGATCGTTTTGAGTTCGAGACCTACAAAGTGAGCTCAAGGCCAGCCTGAACTGCTTATTGAGACCCTGTTTCAAAAGGACCAAAAAAGTTTTTTAAAAAAGTCTTTTTCCCCTTCTGGTACTGGGGATTGAACCCAAGGCATTCACATTGAGCTACATTCCCAGCCTTCTTTATTTTGAGCTGGTGTCTCCCCACCTCGCTATGTTGGTTAGGGGCTTATTTTTGCAAGGGGAACAATATATAGGACACATATTGTATAAGGGTATTTATAATAATCACCCAAAGAACGATATACAAAAGAGTGCAGGAAATCTGTCCACACACTAAGACCAAGGAAATTAGCCGAGGTCCTGGATCCCACAGAAATGTCCTGCATGAGTCCAGCTGAAGGCCTAGAGCCCATAACAATGCCCCCCACAAGTCCACTTGGAGGTCTAGAGCCCATAACAATGTCTCATGCAGGCCTGTTTCACAGATCTGCGCTGGGAAGGCCCAAAGGTCAGTGGTGGAATCTAGAACATCTGTGCCAGTGGGATGAAGGATCTGTGCTAGCAGGCTGAGGGGTCTGCACTGGAGCCAGGAAGCGATGCTCAGAAGAACCAGAGCTCCCCCAAAAGATACCACAGCCATCGCAGCAACAGTGAGGTCCCGAGCTCCTCCGATGATCAGGATGGCCAAGTTCCCATCAGGAAAGCCAACGCAGCAAGCTTCTCCAGGAGACCAGCAGTGCACCATCTTCTCCTCCGGAGCCAGGAAGCGATGCTCAAAGTGAGGACCAGAGCTCCCCCAAAGTGAACCGAAGCCATTCTCAGTGCCAACGAGGTCCTGAGCCCCTCAGAGGGTAAAAACAGCCAAGTTCATCAGGAAAGCCAGCACGACGAGCTCCTCCAAAACAACCAACAGCCTCTCTCAGCTCCCAGCAGCCTCTTAAAAAGCTTCCTTCTCCAGGGCTGCCTCTTATGCTGCTGGCAACAATCCCCACACCCAGCACCACGCTTACCCAGTTCAGCTGGGGGTTATAAGTTGACCACCAGTTATCAATCCACTACACTCGCTAAGTGGCCTGGGGTGGGCTCGAGCTTACCATTCTCCTTCAGCCTTGAGAGTACTGGGATGCCAGGCGTGCACCGTCATGTCCGACAATATGTAATATTGTATTAAATTGGAAGAATATATTCCCTTATATTTATGTTTTTCCTGCCTATTCGTTTTTGTTTTGTTAGACGGTCTCACTATGTAGCCCACACTGGCCTTAAACTCCTAACAATCCTCCTGCCTCAGTTTCCTGGGTGGTGGGATTACAGGCGTGCACCACCACGCCCGGCTGCCTGTTCATTTTTACATGATGCCTGTTCAAATGGCATTTGTAGATGGCTGTCGTCGTACATAAATTCCTTGACATTTCACTGAGTATATTGCTAAGTGTAAAAATAGTGCTTTTTTTTTCTTTTCACCATGGAAATAATTTTCAGATCAAAATTAACTGCAACCTAAAATGCTGTTCATTAACAACTTTCTCTTGGTTGAAAAAGAATTAAGTAGGAGAAGACAGAATGTGAAGCAGGATATCTGCACGGCCTTTAAGTGTTTTTCCCTAAGGTGCTTATGAACAACAGAGAAAAAAGTGGCGATTTTATGGTGGACGGTTGGCAGCATTAAAGTCAGTACTAATGAGAGTGGTGACAGACCCACTGATGAAAGGACACAGTCCCACAGTCCTCTGGGATTCTGCCAGAAATGCATGACCACAGTCTCATCATGAGCTCATCGCTGGGCGAAACCAAACTGAGGGACATTCTATGAAACAGCCCGCAATTCCCTGGAGCAGAGGCTGAGGGACCATGCAAGCGGAGACACTATCACAGGGCGCAGCGTGAAATCCTGGACCACAAACGGGCGCGGGAGCAGGACGGCCCGGCTCTAGCGAGGTACTTGAGGTGCTCGGGTTAGTGGGCGGCAGCAGCGTGCGGAGCTGACCTCCTGGCTGCAGGACTCAGCCTGTACTTCTCCTCCTTAAGGTGTCCTGGCTCTGCGAAGCTGGGAGGTGTTAGGTGGCCCCATGCAACTTCTGAGACATTTCTGGGAGCCTAAAATTATCTCAGAACAAAAAGAAGAAAATGATCCCTCCCTCACAGGCATGTTAAGGAGGTTCAGGGAGGGGATTTAGGCAAAGTTCCTGTTGCAGGATTTGGCACAGTGAGAACTCTAGCTGTTGCTGCTGTGTGTCTCCTCAGGGAGTCTCAGGTTTTCAGCTTTGAAGGGAAATCATCCGTGTGTTTGGTTTTGTTGAGGCGGGGTTTCACTATATATATAGTTCAGGCTGATGTCAGATTCACAGCAATCCTCCCGCTTCGGCCTCCTGAGTACTGGAATTACAGGCATACACCATTCTTTTGGTCACCAATTGCTTAAAACTTCAGGAAAACTGCAGGCGTGGAGGTGAAGAGTTAATCTGATGTTCCTAGTCCTTCTGGACTAGCAAGGACAGAGTCCAGAGGGAAGGTATCGTAGGCAACCCCAAGCTGGCCTCTAATGCACCCTTGGAGGGACTGATCCCGCCACGCCCAGGACAGGAGGAGGGAGGACGCTTAGCCCCGGAGAGCTAAGGAGTTTTGTGTAGGAGGCAGGCTCCTCCAAGGTTCCTGTGACGTTGGGGCTTGATGACTTTCTTCTCGTTTTTGTTTTTTGTTTTTGAGACGGTTTCACTATGTAGTCCAGGCTGGCCTTGAATTCACTGTGTAGCCCAGGCTGGACTCAGACCCGCAGTGATCCTCCTGCCTCTGTCTTCTGAGCGCTGGGATGACCGGCGTGCACCACCCTGCCCAGCAGGGACTTGAATTTCTGCAGCAACATGACGCACCTCCTTGGGTTAGGACGTTTCTTCCTCTTTGCAGAGCCTGCTCTGGACCCATTACCTCACCACCGACCTTCCATGTCCCTGTGAGAAATGCAGTTAGTGGGCAGGTTCTGGGGCTGGCCAGGTACTACAGCTGTGAGCTGTCAGTCTCCTCCAAAAAACGCAAGGCTTTCTGTACATCTCTGGATCTCTTCTTTTCTCTCTCCCTTCCTTCTTCCCTCCCTCCTTCCTCCCTTCCTTCCTCCACACCCGGGGATTAAATCCAGGGCCTTCACACAGCCCCACCCTGCCGCTTGTGTTCATTTTTTATTTTGAGGCAGTGTCTGGCTAAGCTGCTGAGTTGCCCAGGCTGGACCTGAACTTGTGATCCTCTTATTTCAGCCTCCCAGAATGTTGGGAAGAAAGTCCCAAGCTTCTTTTTTTCCCATCTCTCTAAATAAACACAAAAATCACACTGAAGGGATTAAAAGATCCCATTTCAAACATCTTGCTTCCTGGTTGTGACGTGACCCTCAGCTGTCATAAAGATCTGATCAAATGAATATCAGAGTTTTCTCTTTATATTAAGAGATCACAGATGGGGTGGATGTACACTTCGGGGGCACCAGGTGGGAGATCCACTGTGGTGAGTAAACTGTTTGTGTTGCTTGTGGTGTGGCTACAGGAACCTGTGAGGGTGATGGTGTAGGATAGAAACACACAATTATACAGAAAAACTGATAAAATCCAAACAAGGCCCAGAGTCTGGCTAATGGCATTGTAGCAACATCAGTTCCTAGGCTTTGACAGCTTGCTGTGGCCAGGTAAGACATCAGCCTTGGGGGAGCTGGTGCAGGAGCCACGTGACTGTACTGTTTTTGCAATTTCCAGCGTGTCTACAGGTGTTGTAAAAATTTTTTTGCAGTGTTAGAGATTGAACCCAGGGCCTGATGCATGCTAGGCAAATAAATGTTCCATCACTGAGCTGCACCCCAAGTCCTAGTTTTTATTTTTAAAATTTTTTATTTTAATTTTATTTTTTGACACAGGGTCTCACCATGTACTTAAGACTATGTAACCCACATTGCCCTTGAACTTGTGGGGATCCTCCTGCCTCAGCCTCCCGAGTGCTGGGATCACAGGCATGCACCACCACACCTGGCAGTGATGCACACCTGAAGTCCCAGCACTCGGGAGGCTGAGGCAGGAGGATCGTTGCCAGTTCGAGACCAGCCTGGGCTACGAAGTGAGCTCAAGGCCAGCCTGAACTGCATAGCGAGACCCTGTCTCAAAAAGACAAAAAAACCAACCAACCAATAAAAAAAAAAAAAAAAAAAAAAAAAAAAACCCTCCCCATGGAAGAGAATTGTGAGTTCCAATTAGATTTGCTACTTTTTCTTTGTGAGACTGAGAAAGATAAAACTATTTGACATGTAGTACAATGAAGGAATGAAACAGGAAAACTGGATTTCTCTTTTGGCGGAGACACTTTGGAAATACTCTTCAAGTTTGCATGTGAATTTTTTTTTTCTTTTTTTTTTTTGGTGGTACCCAGGGCTTTTATACTGAGCTACATCCCCAGCCTTTTGTTATTTTGGGACAGAGTCTTGCAAAGCCACTAAGTTTCCCGGGCTGAGCTCAAACTTGCCATCCTCCTGCCTCTGCCTCCTAGAGTTCTGAGATGATGGTTGTGCGGCTGCACTCGTCTTGAACATACCTTAGACAAGTCCAGGAAATTACCATATGAACTCACACAGAAGCCCAAAGCATGTACGAAGCTATCTGTTTCAGGAGCATTTATAGGAGGGGTTGGTCAAGCCTGGCCTATAAGTCACATCCGG